TTCATGGGGTAGTTATAAGGCTCCTTTAAGGGATCTATAAGAGGGTTCTATAAGGGCTCTTTAAGGGATCCTGTAAGGGGTCTATAAGGGGTCATAGTTGGAGGTTCATGGGTAGTCCCAAGTAGTGCTTAGATTGGGGGCCTTATAACGTCTAACTACTCATGAAGCTTCCAAACCCCCAAAACCCGTGTAAACCCTGAGCCCCTAAACCCTAAACCCCTAAACCCCTAAACCCCCAAACCCAAAATCCCAAATCCCTAAACCCCTAAACCCCAAACCCCTAAACCCTAAACCCCTAAACCCTAGACCCCGGAAGTGCAGGGCTGAGATCCCAGGCGCTCTGCCCGCAGCGGAGCGGCGCGTCGAAGCGCAGGGCGACGTCGCCGTCCTCGCCGGCCGGGGCGCCCGGCGTGCTGGGCCTTGAAGGGCCCCCTTTTAGGGTTTAGGGTTTAGGGTTTAGGATTTAGGGTTTAGGGTTTAGAGTTTAGAGTTTAGGGTTTAGAGTTTGGGGTTTAGGGTTTAGGGTTTAGGGGCTCCGGTAAAGCTCCTTTAAGGGTATGACACAGGTTGCTTTAAGGGTTCTTTTTGGGAGGGGTGTAGGTTTAGGGTTGGGGGTTGTGTGCCTGGAGTTTTGGGTTTTAGGGTTTGAGCAGGGGTTGTTACAAGGGTTCTATCAGGGAACCCTAAACCCTAGACCCTAAACCCTAAACCCTAAACTCTAAACCCTAAAATGGTTCTATCCCCCAGCATTCTTACGCCCTAAACCCAAAACCCTAAAGTCGAGAACTCGCCCCCAAGAGCTTGGGGCGTTTCGTTCCACGGGGTGCTGTTTTCGTAGGATCTACGTGGAGTCTTACAGTCCTACCTAAACCCTAAACCCTGAGCCCTAAACTCGAAACCCTAAACCCTAAACCCTAAACCGTAACTAAAGTCAAGCAATGTAGGGTTGAGGGTTTAGAGTTTAGGGTTTTGAAGGTTTAGGGTTGAGGGTTTGGGGGTTTAGGGTTGAGGGTTTGGGGGTTTAGGGTTGAGGGTTTGGGGTTTAGGGTTTAGGGTTTAGGGTTTTGAGGTTTGGGGGTTTAGGGTTTAGGTTTGGGGTTGGGGATTTAGGGGGGCTCAGGAGTTCTTGATAGCTGCGAAGCAAGTCGTTCCTTCGCGAGGTCCATGAGTACAGCGGGACTTTTCTCCGCTGACGCCTCAGATCCCAGGGCTCTCTGCTTGGAGGTCCATGGGTAGTTACAAGTGGAGTTATAAGTCCCCTGTTATATATATATATATATAGTACTAACCTAAACCCTGAACCCTAAACCCTAAACCCTAAACCCTAAACCCTAAACCCTAAACCCTAAACCCTAAGCCCTAATATACAATATAACTATAGCTACCCTACTTATAATCCTACCTATAGCTACCCATGAACCTCCAAGTGGAGGACTGCCTGGAGCCAAGGATCCTGAGAATCATAGTCCTGAGTCCTGAACCCCTGAAACCCAAAACTCTAAACCCCAAATCCTGAACCCTAAACCCTAAGCCCTCAGCCCTCAAATCTCAACCCTACATCCCCCAACCCTAAACCCTCAACCCTCAACCCTCAACCCTAAAACCCTAAAACCCTTAAACCCTAAACCCCCAAGTCAACTTCCCTGAACTCCCAAAGCATCAGGATCCTAAGCCCTAAGTTTCTCGACATCACCTTCAATCCAAAACTGTGGACTTCCCCAGTCTTCCTAGGGTTTAGGGTTTAGGGTCTGTCCTACTGTAAAGTCCAAGATCCCTGACTCCACCTTTTCTGCACATCAGCGGGGGATTAAGTTGGGATGAGTTTCGAAAGCTTCGAGCCTGAGGGAGGGTCGAACTTGCATCGGACAAAGAAGCCCCCGCCCCTCAACCCTAACAGAGGGGTCCGTAGTCTAACTGCAACATTAAGCATAGACCGCTCGGACCCCTATATTGCACCCTGAACCCTAAACTCCAAGCCCTCATTAAACCCTGAAGCTGAACGATTAAGCCTCCTCGAAGCCCAGAAGAAGACGCTGCCTCCCCCGGCTACCAGGCCCCTGAAGCCTAAATAATCACCAATCGTATTTTTGGGGTTCCTTATTATAATTTTATAATTATAGTATACTATACCCCAAGACCCTATTCTAAATTACTAAGGCCCTGACATTATAGCAACCTCCATAGGTCACCTCAAACCCTAAACCCTTAACCCTAAACCCCAAACCGTAGACCCTAAACCCTTAACCCCCATCGACCTCCCCATAGGGCCTTGCAAGGTCAACCCGCCAGGCTGGGATTCTCTTTCCAGCGAAGTCAGAACGTTGAGGGGTGGGTGTAGGGGTTTAGTGTTCTGGTTCGGGGTTTAGGGGATAGGGTTTAGGGTTTAGGGTTTCGGGGACCCTAAACCCTAAACCCTAAACCCTAGTTGAGGGCTCAGGGTGGGTCCGGGTAGGTGTTGGAGTGTGGGTTTAGGCTGCAGGAACCTAACGCCCTACCGCCTTGGAGGTTTAGGGTTGAGGAATGCGGTACTCGGAGGTTCATGGGTAGTGTTGAGGATGGTTATAAGCAGTGTAACTATTCTTATAACTTTTGTATATATATATATATGTATATATATATATATATATGTCTATCTATATATATATATATATGTACACATATATACATAATAGGGGACTTATAACTCCACTTATAACTACCCGGGAAGCTTCAAGCAACTAGGTTTTAGGTCTGGGGCGTGGAGCTTCAAGCCTCGCAGAGGCTCTGAAGCCGCAAGGGACCGTAAAGCATCAAACCTTAGTCTGGGTTGCTGTTGAGGAACTCAAGTTAAGCTACCATCAGGGGGATATATAGTAAGTAATAGGGTGTCCTTATTGCGGTAACCCCTAAACCCTAAGCCCTAAACCCCTGATAGCAACTTGAACCTAAATTTAAACCCTAAACCCTAAAACTCTTATAGTAACTTAACTTAAGGTCCTTAACAACAACCCAGTAGTCGACAAGTCCTAGTCCACCCAAAACACATGAACGCTTGAAACATCCTTTTGAGTATGACCTTCGAAACATGGGTTTAGGGAAACCCTAAACCCTAAACCCTAAACCGTTGAGGGTTTCTTTGCAATAGACGCAGCAGTACACGAGACCCGGCTGGCGAAAGCTGGTGTACTATATGAGTCTTATCAAGTCGAAGATTTTGTTTTGAAGCCCCAGGCCTAAATCCAAAACCAAAATCCTAGACCGTAAACCCTATACCCCCAAGCCCTACAATCTAGTATAACGTATTATAATCTACAAATATTCGGGTATCATATAGTATAGTATAATATGGGCAGCATAGTGCCGCGAACTGGACCTTCGGGTTGAGGTCTCTTTAGGTAGGTTTGTTTATAAGGCTTAGAGTATGTGTGCCTCAATCATTTGATTGGGTTTCTGGTGCATGCCTTCGTATGTACAGTCATAGTTGAATGAAAAAAGGAACTACGAAGGGATATTTTCATTGATTAGTGAGATCCCTATATTGGCTGTTGTCTTCGGCTATGCGCGGAAAGGGAGTTGATAGTGGGTTACAGTGTCTCGGTGAGGCTTAGCAGGGTTATGTTGAGCTGCAATGCGGGATTGAACCTTCGGGCGATTTTAACCCTGTGCTCCTGAATCCCAGAGCTACTATTATTATTATTATTAGCATTATTAATTAACATTATCATTGCCCTTATTATTGTTATTATAGTTACTATGACTGTTAGTAGTCGTATTCTATATTGCTATTGTTACTAGTACTAATACTGTCATTAATTTGTGTTATCATTGCTAGTGCCAGGATGATTGGGATCATTGTTATTCTTCTTGTCTTTATGATTAACATCATCATCCTCTGTGCAGGTTTCGGGTCACTGCCACGACGGGCCACGTGTACTCCTTGGACTTCAGTCAGGCGGGACGCTTTAAGGGGTTTAGGGCTTAAGGGGTTTAGAGTTTAAGGGTTTTAGTGCTTACGGTTTTTGTTGGGTTTTAGGGCTTCGGGCTGTAGGCTTAAAGGATCTAAGGGTTTAGGGCTTAAGGGGTTTAGAGTTTAAGGGTTTGTGGCTTACGGTTGTTTTGGGTTTTAGGGTTTCGGGTTTTAGGCTTAAAGGATTTTAGGGTTTCAGGTTTTGAAAGAGGATTTTGCGGTTTCGAGGTTTCGGGTCCTTCGGGCTTGGGTTTTCGGGGTTGAGGCAACTCGGATCCTTGAGGCAATTTTCGGACCCCTGGTTCTGAGCTCATACGTTCACAATGTTATAGGGTTTAGGGTTTAGGGTCTAGGGTCCTATGAAGGTTCCGTGGATTCTAGAAGGCATTTCTCGCGGTTCTGTAGGGGTTGTAGAGCGATTACTTGTTCGACTGATTTCTCTTCGTCCTCAAGTCTGGCCAAGTTGAGGGCGCCGGCAAATAGTGAAAGTCTTAAATCCCCCAACCCCTAAACCACGCCTGAACCCTAAACCCTGAAACCCAAACCGCCAAACCCTAAACCGTAAACTATGGTACCCTTATGAAACCCTATAGAATATAGAGCCCTTATGAAATTTATGAAACCCCAGAGAGGAAACCCTTTAGAGCCCTTTATAAAACGTCTGTAGAACCCTTGCAGAAAACCCGATAGAAGCCGCAGACGCTGCGAGCTTCCGGCCAGGAGTAAAAATAATGACCCTTAATTACGGAACATACCTTAAATCATATCAGGGATCCTACTATAGTTTAAGGTATGTTCCTTAATTAAGAGATATTGGAGTCTCTGGGTTCCGGCCAGGAGTACAATAACTGGGAGACGCACAGCTGAAGCCTGAGACTATCTGAGAGGATGGCAGGAAGCCAGAAAAAAGCAAGAAACGAGAGCTTCATAGGGAGTTTGGGGTTTAGGGTTTAGGGTTTTGGGCTCCATTATACTGTTGATGATAGAAATCCTGCATGTCCTTAAGGACCCTAAACTATGGGACTTATGGTCTGTTCCTTACAATGGGTAATGCAGGATTTATGTCATCAACCGTACTTTGCATGGCTCTTTTTGTCTTAACCGGGTTTTTACGGGGGTTTTGGAGTCGTGCTCTTCTTTTAACAGGGCGGTGTTGGGCGTTTTGACTTCTTTTGCATGGGTTTTCTGGTTTACGCTGAGGGCATCGGATTTATGCTTTCAGATTTCCAACCCTAAGGCTAAAGCGCGCAAACCTAAGCCGAACATCCGAAATTCTAGTTCTAAACTGACAAAATCCAAAGCCTGAAACCCTGAGCTCTACATGTTGCAAAGGCTTTAGGCTCCCGGATGCAAGCTTTTCGTTGCATGCGTTGCCTTCTGTAGGAGTTTGTGGTTTAGTCCTCTGAGGTCTTTATAGGGTACAGGCAGTAAAGAGTTTCGAGGTTCTTGGGGTCGGTTATGATTCTTCCTCGTGATTCAATCGCTGCATCCCTGCTGCGGGCTCGATGAGTACAAGGGGGTGTTTTGACTCGCATTGCGCTGAGGAACTACAGCTATCGCGGCACCTACATCCTAAACCCGCAACTGTACCCTAAACCCTAAACCCTAAACCTTAAACTACCCTAAAGCCCTAAATTGCTAAACCCCAAAACCCTAACTTACCCTAAGCTCTCGTGGGGGTTTTTCGGAGCCTCCACATGTCAACCGGTTCGACGTGCATGCTGGGTTTGCTGGGTTCTTGTTTAATATAGCAGCCTCAATAGTTACCAAGATGGTAGCTTAGAGTCCCTTATTCCCATACTAGTACCAAGGAGCCCAAAACCCTGTTCTAATTATTAAGGCCCCTATATTAGTCGTTTCATTTAAGTTACCGAAGAAGGGATCTATAATGAAGAACAAGGTTTCCTGCTTATGGAAACTTAAATTCAGTTTCTTAACAAGAACCCAGTTTAGCAGCCGGGCGGATTCAGGGTGTAGGGTTTGGGGTTGAGGGTTCAGGGTGCATGTGAGTACTCTAGGGACCTAAACAATCAGAATAGGATTTGGTGGGCCATCATAATACTTATAAAAAGGAACCACCAAAACAGTATTAGTAATTACTTAGGCCCCTACCTTACCCGGAACCCCCAAGCTCTCTAGGATATTTACTAGCCGGACCCTCAGCCTTCAACTACCCAAAACCCTTTTTCCAAGTCCTAAGGCCCTTAGTGTAGGGCTTAAGGTCGCGGGTTCAGGTTTTTGAAGGGCTTCAGAATAGAACTTAAAGTTTCGGGGTTAGGATTTGGTCTGCACTGCTTGCCCAGAAAGCGGCACGAGTTTAGCGACAGGATCTGGTTTCGAGCATGTCCAAACCAAGCAACACCTTCCAGCCAATGCTAGTCCGCCTAAACCCCCTCTATGCCCGTAAACCCGAAACCCTAAACCCTAAACGCTAAACCCTCAACCCTCAAGCCTTGAACCCTGAAGCCCATCTAAAACCCGGAGACCCCGAGTTTGGTAGCGTCTGAACCCCAAACCGCGAAGCCCCCATGCCCCAAACCCCCAACCCACAGAATAGAGGCCAGATGATTGGTAAGACTACGTACTCCTTAGGCTTCCTGAGCAAATCATGGACCTGAACCTTCAACCCTGAACCCTATAAACCCTAAGCCCTAGAAACCGTAAGCCCAAACGCCTTATTCTACCCCTAAACCGTAAACCCTAAACCCTAAACCCTAAACCCTAAACCCTAAACCCTAAACCCTGTATTGCCGACCGCCTGGTTGGACCAGGTCCAGACTCTCTGTTCAGCGCAACGACCGTCCGCACCTACGACGGCAGGGCGAACATGCCTGCGTGCAGCCGGCACGGTTTAGGGTTTAGGGTTTAGGGTTTAGGGTTCAGGGTTTAGGGTTTAGGGCTTAGGGTTTAGGGCATGCCTGCGTGCAGCCGGCATGGGATGTGTCCTGCTGTAGGGTGAAGCGGTTGAGAGCTTCGGGTTGTCAGGTTTAGGTGTAATTAACCCCTAAACCCTAAACCTTAAAGGTTCCGTGCAGGAAAACGGCCCGGTTAACAAAAAGCCTTCAAGGGGGCTTTAGGGTTTTGGGTTTTGGGTTTTGGGTTTAGACTTAGACACCAGTATGTTCCGCGTTCGAGGTCCCCCGATCCTCCTAAACCCCAGCCCGAGACTCCCGAACCATGGAGGGAACCCTTCAGGATGTAGGGTTTAGGGTTTAGGGTTTAGGGTTTAGGGTTTAGGGAAGGGAACCTGACAATGAACCCTTCCAGCAACCTTAAATCCTGGACCCTACGCCCAAAACTGTTTAAAATCTAAACGAGTTCGGGACCTCTAATCGATACGCTTAGGGTTTAGGCTTAGGATGTTTTGGGGTCTTTTGGGGTTGGCGGAAATTTGAGGCTGGAAATAGTATGGGTCTGAGTAGTTCGTAGTGATATCGCTTCTTCGTCCCTACAGAACTGAAGCCCTAAACCCTAAACCCTAAACCCTAAATCCCTTCTTCGTCCCTACAGGACTGAAACCCTGAACCCTAAACCCTAAATCCTTTCTTCGTCCCTACAGAACTGAAACCCTGAACCCTAAACCCTAAATCCCTTCTTCGTCCCTACAGAACTGAAACCCTAAAAAAGAACCCCAAATCCCTTCTTCGTCCCTAACAGAACTGAAACCCTGAACCCTAAACCCTAAATCCTTTCTTCGTCCCTAACAGAACTGAAACCCTAAACCCTAATCCCTTCTTCGTCCCTAACAGAACTGAAACCCTGAATCCTAAACCCTAAATCCTTGCTTCGTCCCTAACAGAACTGAAACCCTGAACCCTAAACCCTAAATCCTTTCTTCGTCCCTACAGAAGTGTAGTAGAATATTCCCAAAAGCCTTCCAACCCTGCATGACCACCCTATGGTCCGACACACTGGAACCCCGAAGCCCTAAACTCAAAACCCTAAGTTTAGGGTTTAGGGCTTAGGGGTTTAGGGCTTAGGGTTTTAGGGCTTAGGGGTTTAGGGCTTAGGGGTTTAGGGTTTA